CGTATTAAACGGGCGATTTAACACGCGATCTCGCACGTGCGGAACGAAAGAGATCGAGTAAGGTACTTCTGGCCAAAGTAAATTGACCAGAGTTCAGATCCAGAGTTTCACGCTGTGTAAGTTACGCGCAATGTGTAAATTCCCCGCAATTCACCGCGAGGCATTCCCGATGTTTCGCGAGAGAGATCTTTCGTCTTTTTTTTTCTTTTCGCGCAGATGCGCCAGAGAAACGCGCGACGCCAAGTCGGAGTTGACGGCGAGCGAGTCGGAGAAGGAAGCGATGAGAATCCAGTACGAGAAATCCCTGGACCGTCGTGAAACGGAGAAGAAGCAATTAGAGTTCCAAGTAATACAGCTGTACCAATTCCTCGACGTTGCGCTTGATTCGTTCCCCGCTCCTCCTCCCTTCCTCACCCCTTTGTGTTTTTAATTTGAAAACGGTGAAAGACGAAACTCTCGCGGGACAATCGATCGACTTCGAATTTGTATGGAATTGTTTGAAGAAAATGGAAACTCTCGTCGGACGATCCGGCGAGAAATGTACATTCTCCTTTGTCCTGAAATTTCTCGTAAATGCACAATAATTCGAGGTCTAACAGCTAAGCAAACGAATTCCGGGTACAAACAATTCCCGGCGAGAAATATGCAACTCAACACGAAGTTGTATTTCAGTTACGTTTCACGTCGGAATATTATATAAAATTTACGACGCTGTGCAACGACTTGAGGATTATAGGGATGTAGATTGAAATCCCGAGAATATGAATTTAATCACATCGGTACTTTAAATACGGTTGTCACAAGTTCCTGCTTAGTTTCGCAGCTAATTAACCTGTAATTTGCCCCCTCTGCTTTTGAAAAAAGAAAAAAAAAATAAAGAATTCGGGTTCGACGAATCTCCCAATACGATATTATTTTACGAAAAAATAGGCGAGGTATGAAAAAGAGAAAAAGAACGTGATGGATAAGGACAGATGTGAGTTTCGTCGCGTCTGGCGAGAACTCAAACACGCGGTTGCCTTTCAACAGAGTTTTAGATACAAATTAAAGTGCCAAGCTTGATTCGCCATTGGTCAAATAACTTTAAATCGAGATACTTCTTCGTTGCCACGTAATTTCGAAGCTACCTTGTATCGTGCATCCATAGATTGGGGAAACTTGTGCGAAAGGACCCGCATTCCACGAGCCAATAAATGGAAGTTCACCTTATTAGTCGTAAGATATCGTTTTAAGTATGCTTCCAACCATTAGGCTAACATTGCGCGTTGCTGCTAGATTGGTTTCACTTCAGCTAATCATGGGTCACGTTCTACGTAATTTAACTTTGTTGATCAAACGCCAACTAGCACGCTCCCCGCGCGGCCGAACCTTCGGCCATTCGTGCTTGAAGTGAAAACAACGGACGAAATATTCTGGTGGTTAATCCGATAATTGTTTAGAGTACAAGTCCCATGTGTCCAATTTCATTTGCGGTTCTTTTCAATTTTCATTTGACGAAAAAAGTCGACATATATCTTTCGCTTTTCGACAAAATTCGATATTCGATTTTTTGAGTGATTGGCTCTTTCAAACAGCAGAATTGTTAAATTGAAAAAGTTGGATAAAGGCTAAATATTATTTTCTTAGAGATGAACTCCATAAAGGAATACACTGACGAAGTTCTTTCGCTTTCTCGATAAAAAAAGTTTCATATTCCCTGGTTACTAATTGTTGGCTCAGCCTTCCGAACTATAAATTGAGAAATTAGAATCAATTGGACAAGGGCGTGAATTAGAAATGGAATATTATTTTCCTCGAGATGAAGTCCGTAACTACGATGCTCGAAGTTAGAAATCCACGAAATGGCTTTCGACGCTGGACGCTGTGACTTCTGCGAGAGGAAAATTTTCAAAAATGCCCGAACGCACATGTTCTAGATAAAGCTAATAACCTGGCGATAAAACTCCCTAAGGGTGGAGGGAGGAATTCGAGCCGAGGTCGCGCGTCTCATGATCGTTTGTTAGTTGAACGAAGCACGAGGCGAGGCGAGCCAACTGAAGATTCGAATTTCACGTATCCTGGAGTCGTTGACGCGGCAGATCGCCGTCCAGGAAAAACAATTTCTCGAGCTCACGCGGACGGTCGATGATTTGGCGGATGAGAAGTCCCGACTGCGGAACGCCCTGGCCGAGAAACAGGCGGAAACCGATGCTCTGCAGGGTGAATTTCAAAGAACGAAGCAACTATTGGAGAGGTCGGGACGGTGCAAAGATGCCGCGAGAATGTCTCATCAGGCTTGTCAAACCGAGGAGCTTGAAATCACCACGTAAGGACAACAACAAAATAACAATCGCCAAGGTGGGACAGATGAGAAAAATTTCATTTCCCCGAGTCGCGCTCGAGGAAGGATTTATCTCTGTAGATTCCACGAAGAGAATGAACTCTCAAGTGACGGATGAAACAATAATTTTTATCATACGTTTTGTAATTTGCTTTAATTTTTCTCTCTAGTTTCTTTCAATTAAAGACAGTTTATTAGCCAAACTTCTTCTTATTTTATTTTATTTTTTTTTTTAAATTAGTATCCTAGCTAAATTGGTTTTCGTCTTCTCGAACGTTGCGTGTATATTTGACTTTATTTCTCGTTTATTCATCTTGTCATCGTGGTGTCGCGTGCTAAGTTCAAAATTGTGTGTCAATTCTAATTATCTACCGATAAGTCCGATGTCTGCTAATATTTTTAACCACTTGATCGCCGTGCGCGCCAATCCCTGTACTCTAAATAAAAGCGAAATTAATTTCGATTTCTTAACAGTGACATCTAGAATCATTTTCTAACACTAAAAATCGAAATATATATATATTCTTGTGTCTTGCTTCGAAAAAAAGGCAAGAAATAAAATTCGCGTGCTGAAAACTGTAAAATTCCACTCTGCCCAACTACTTGCTTCAAAGTACACACCCAAAATAAATATCAGTTTTATCGTGTG